CCAAAAAATGTTTCCAACCTCACATATAATAAAAGATTCTATGTAAGCTTGATACCATTTCCCCACTTTCACTTCCTCTCACTACTAATTTATTCATATTCCAGGATTTCATCTTGCTTCTTCTTGAAATTCACCCAGGGATCTCACCCAGCAAATACAAGGAACCTCTGCTTGACTGTGTAGAGCTTCAAAAGTTAACAAGATAATTCTAAAGACCTCCTTGTTGAACTGTTGATGTGATTTTGATCTTACCCAGAACCTAAGAAAGTAGGAAGTGGATGGAGGAGACACGCTAGCCCAACTTTCCTTTGTGTGTAGATGAGACACCCAGCAGTGAGCAACAGAAAGCTGCATCATTCATGTGCTGATAAATAATAGTCTGATCTTCTGATTCCTATCCCTATGGCCCAATCCAGAGAGAAGTGAAAACAGATCTTACAAATAGGAGAGTCAACAGAGGAGGAAGGGAAAATAGCCACAGGAAGAAAAAATCCAGAAAAGGGGGAGTAAGGGCCTTTGTTTCCCCGAATTATCTTCCACCCCCAAACTTAAAAGTAAACAAGAAAAGCTCATGAAGACTACAGAGAACAGTGACCAGTCACACACAGGAAGTGGAGACACAAGAAAAGAAGAAAAGGAGCAATGGGTAGCTTAAGAAATCTTCTTCTCAGAAGAGGGGTGGGTCCAGGGCCAGCAATAAAGAACCCAGATGGTTTTAATGACCAAACTCTGCCTCTTTGCTTTCATCTGACTGCAGCAGGAACTGTCACCAGTGAAGGACCATATCCTGTCAGTGGTCTGCCTCAAAAGCTCCCACTGGTGCCTTGGAAGTTTTTTACTGGGGCTGGAAGACTTTTCCATTTCCCAGACCTCACACCCAGAAGCCTGCTTACTCACTCCCAGCACTGTTCAGGACTGTGGAATCCATAGGGTAAATAATTCTCAGTCTTAGAAGTTTCTTTTTGGGCATCCCCTGGTGGCGCAGCAGTTGAGTGTTGGGCTGCGAAGCTGCCCGCAGCCTCTACAGCACTGGTTTGATCCCCGGCCACCGGCAAGGGTCCCACATGGCGTGCAGACCTCTCCTGCCGCCTGCTGCTCCCCTCAGCAGTGTATTTCGTCAGTCTGCCTGTTCTGTTCCCCGCTCTGGCTCTGGTGAATTCTCTCACCCTCCCGCGCTTCTGACTGTACCCATTGCTTGTATAAATAAATAAATAAATAAATCTTAAAAAAAAAAAAAAGTTTCTTTTTGTCCTGTCCATCATTTACTTTAAAATGTAGTTCATGTTGGGATAGGTGCTCCAGATTGGGTCATCCTCCTTGGTAAAACATAGAATAGTTAACATTTGTGAGAAATACAAAAATACCAATCATTGTGTGGACTAAAAGAATACTTTGAATATATTTGACTCTAAGGAAAACAAGTGGTAAAATTACAAGAAATAATTCTCTTCTCTTTTTGGTTGCTCCCTCCTCAAAAATTGAATGATTCTGAGATCCCAGGGTTGGAGTTACCAACAATACTGAAATGCTCATAAAATTTCTACCCCATAATAACAAAGTAGAAACTCTAGGGATTTTCAAGCGAATCATTGACCTTCCATAGTCCCACCCAAACTCCTTTTCTAACACTTGAGTTAATACCAGTATCATGAGATCCCAGACTGTGTTCTTTTTGTTAGTTTGGAAAGAATGACTAATCCCTGTATACTATTCTTGGACTCTGTTATTTTGGCCAACTTAGGAAGAATGGACTAATACTAATAATATCCAACGTTTATAGCACGTTCACAGTTTACAAAGTCTTTTTCCATTTAATTCTCACAGCAGTTCTCAGATGAAGTAACTTGCTCTGGTTCACTCGTAACTAAGTGGCACAGCTAGTACATAAACGCAGATCTTCTGAATCAGCCTTCGGTTTTAACTACATGAGACAAGGTATATAGTGGTAGTTGTTGTAACCAATAACCTTTATATGTCAGTGATAAGACACAGTAAAGCTTTCTCTTGTTCTCGTTGCAACAATGTGGTCTGGTGGGGCAGGGGATTCTGCTCCACATAGGCATGCAGGGATTCATGCACCTCCTATCCTGGTGTCAATATCTTCCACATGTGGTCTCCAAAGCTACTGGAGATGGGTAGAGAGTGGAAAAAAGACACACAGGAGCTTTTTATGGGTCCAACCTGGAAGTAGCACACATGACTTTGGCCCAGGTTCTTTGATCCAGAATTCTATCTCAACAAGGGAAGCCAAGATATAATTAAACTGTCTACCCTGATCCACTAGTCTTGGAAGGTAGGTCTGAGAGGTTTGACCTTAGTACTTTAGCTTGTCAAGTCTCCATGAAATCCATTCTCTAAAAATCCATGTTGCACAGTCTCTGGAAATTATATATTTCTTCCCTTCCAGCATCTTTTCACTCCTTTAAGCTCCCAGGACCTCTGTCTATTTCTATTTACTTCTAGTCCTTTCTTAGAGACCCTTTGGAAATTTATGCTGTTCTCATTTTTTTTTTAACTTTCTTCCTCTGTATGCCTTTCCCCTCATGAATCACAAGTTCTTTAAAGACAAAAGTGGGTCTATTGTTGCAATACTGTGAGATTCCCTCCCTTCACCCACTTCATCAACACTCTACTTTCATCCAAATAAACTAAGGTGATTGGTGTCAAGAGAGAAGCAAAGAGGAACTAGGAATGGGCCTTAAGAAGTTTGTTATAGGGCCTCCCCGGTGGCGCAGCGGTTGAGCGCTGGGTTGCAAAGCTGCCAGCGGCCTCTGCGGCGCCAGTTCGATCCCCGGTTGCTCCCCTGCCACCGGAGGAGGGTCCCACATGGCGTGCAGACCTCTCCTGCCGCCCGCTGCTCCCCTCAGCAGTGTACTTCGGTCCTTCTGCCTGCTCTGCTCTCCGCTCTGGCTCTGGTGGAATTCTCTCACCCTCCCGCGCTTCTGACTGTACCCAGTGCATGTATAAACAAAAACAAACAAACAAACAAACAAATAAATAAAACATGCCTAAAAAAAAAAAAGTTTGTTATATAAGATGAAGTGTGAACATGCAATAAGGAACATAGAAACACAGTGCTAAGGAAACAGAGAGGGCAGGGATTACTCTTGAATTGAGGGGAAGAGGACTGGAAAGGGGTGCACTAAAGAAATAATCATCATCATAAAAATAACTAACAGTTACTGAATTTCCACCGAGTGCAGGCACTGTGTTACAGCGTCTTACAGACATCAATCATCTCATGTCATGCTCCCAACAATCTATGAGAAGGCACTATTATTGCCTTCATTAGCCAGATGAGAATAGACACAGAGGGAGAATTGGCCTCAAATAGTATTACTATGACAGTTGCAGGTATTGTTTGAAGGCCAATTTTTTTGATTTTGAACATTGTTTTGTGGTTACATAGGAGAATATCCTTGTTCATAGGAAATCCACCCTGAAGTATTCAGGAGTAAAAGAGGATGGTGTTGTGAAATTACTCTCATATATTTCAGGAAAAAAGGGATAATTATGGGTGGGGCGTGCAAAAAGGGAAAGGAGAGAGGGAGAGAATGGTAAAAGAAATGTAGCAAAACATTAACCATTAGTGAAAGTGGGTGACAGCTATGCTGGAGGATTTGTATTAATCTTGACAATTTTTTGTAGGTTGAAGTGATTTCAAAAGAAAAGATGAAAGAAAGGAAAATGGACACAGAGCCACTGAGTGGATTGCTCAGCTCAATGAGCTTATGAACCGTGGGAAATAGTCTGCAGAATCTGCTGGCTGGTCGCATGGGTATTGCAGAGGGTGTATCCTCTGTACCTCCTCATCTTCCCTGGTGCTGCCCACATGCTCAATCACACTGCTGCTGCCCAGGACAGAGAAGCTACTTCTCTTGAAATGGAAAGACTTTCCTCAGGTTGGCAGCCTACAGCTGGCCCTGCTGACACCTGAAACTGAATTTGGATGCAACATTGCCCTGCTGGGTGAGTCATCCGCAGGAGAAAGGGAAGGATGAGCATCGGGAATACAGGATAGTTTTTCCCTGTGGGGCCAGCTTCCACTGACAGGAAGTGGGAGTCTGGCTTCCCCTTCCTTGCTCTCCAGTGGGCTACCTCCAGGTGAGAGAAGTTCTACAGGCTGCACAGGAACGGGGGCCGGAGGGTGAGGCAGGTGGATGCTAACAGGGGGGCAAAGAATGAAATCAAGATGTAATAAATATAATAGACTTGAATTCCATTTGCAGAGTTTCAACACTGATCTGTAGGCACTCATATGAGCCAGGAGGACTTTCTGAAATAGAATGCATAAATAATAGCAGTAATAATAATAAAAGTTAGTGTTTATTAAGCACTTACTATTTGCTAACTTTTATTCTAAGCATTTTTTAAAATTATTTTACTTAATCCTAACAGTAATTTTATGAAATTAATTGTGTTGTGATTCCCTAAGGCTTAAAAAGGTTAATAAATTTACTGAAGGTCACAGATTTTTTTTCTTAGGTCACAGATTTGGAACTCCAAAATTCCATGCACCAGAGCTGGGATTAGGAACATAATTTTGGGGAGTATGAAGGACTGATTGGTGGGTAAAGACATAAGGCTGCACTTAGTGAGGACTGCAGCTTTTACCCCCCAAAAAGGTGAAAAGAAGTGTGAAACACACCTTTCCTTTTCCACATACAACTATTTCAATTTATTCATTTGAAAACATTAGTTACAGCAAACAGTAACTGATCTTAAAGTTGGGGACCTGGAAATGAATGAAACAGATTTCCTGCTCTCATGGAACTTGCAGATTAGTGGGGAGAGACAGAAATTAATCAAAGAATCATTGCAAACTTCCATGCACTGAGAAGGATAAGCGAGTGTATGAAAAGGTCATATCCCAGAGAAATGATCTAGTTTGGCAGTTGTAAATCCACTTCGCAAAATAATTTCTCCACCAAGAATGTGAGTAGCTAAGGAAAAATAGCCAACCAGTGGAAACACAGCATGTTCTATCATTTGAAACTTACCAAGTCTGTAACTAAGCTCCTGATTGCTCCCCTACTCCAAAGTCTTCTCCAAGAGTTCTCATCTCAGTTAACAGAAACACCATTTTTTGCGTTTTCTTGGATCAAAACAACATAGTCCTTTCTTTTTCACATGACTCAGATGGGAATCATCAGCAAATGCTTCTGGCTTCATCCATAAAACATGCAGTGTCGGGCCTCCCTGGTGGCACAAGGGGTTAAGCGTCAGCACTATGAAGCTCTCTGCAGCTACTGCAGCATGAGCTCCATCCCCGGTCAGGGAGCTGACCCACATAGCGAGGCAGACCTCCCCTGTCTCACCCGCTGCTCCCCTCAGCAGTGTATTTCAGTATTTCCACCTATTCTGCTCCCCACTCTGTCTCTGGTGAATCCTCTTACCCCCTGCATCTCTGGCCTGTACCCCAGTTCTTGCATGCATAAATAAATAAATCTTTGAAAAAAAAAAAAAAACATGCAGTGTTCCATCACCTCTCACCATCACCTGTACTATTCCCTGGTCCAAGTAACCATCACCTGTCAGCAGGACTAGTGCAGCAGTCTGGGCAACTGATTTCCTTGCTTCCACTCTTACCCCCTGCAGTACTCTCAACAGTGATCTTAAATCACGTTAAAAGGTCAGTCACATCACATCACCTTTCTGTTCAGGACAATCCACCATCTCCCCTTCTCATTCAGATGAAAAGTTAAAGCCTTATGATGACCCACAGTGTTCTTTGAGACCCAAGGTCCTTCCCTAACCTCCAGCTCACCTCTTATACTTTCCCTCCAAATATTCTCTCCCTCATTTATTCTACTGCAGCCACACTGGCATGCTTGCTACTCCTTACACACAGACTTACTCTCACTGGGTCTTTATACTTGATATTCCATCTGCCCGGAAATCCTCACTCCCCCCAAGCCCCCGCCTCACCCCAACTAGCACCTTCTATCTTCCTGTCCCACAGTCATCCTCACCACACAACATATGGTACCTTCTAATCAGTCCTTTTGTTTATAATCTTCTCTCCACTGGCTCTACATTGTAAACTCTATTATGATTACTCATGGCCATGATGCTTTAGTATTAAGCACAGTATCTGCCACATGGTAGAAACAGCGCACAGTTTTAAAAATGTTTGAGGGCTCTTTCTACAAGACACATTACCATGGCATAAGCTCAAGAGGAAGAGGAGAGAAGGTCCTGGAAGCCCAGCTGTGGGTTTCCTTGGATGGCAGCAGAGCAACCAGACACACTATCTTCAGGGTAGAATTTGTGACTCATCACTCAGATCATCCTTTACAAAGGACATCTTATTCTCTTGGCTGTCGGTCTGCTATGGGGACTGCTGAAAAGAGGACATCACACCCTTCCAGAGTTGTCCAAGCCCAATGACTGACACGGGATATGAAGACCCCACCCTCTTGCCTCATCTTCAGAATACCCAGGGAGCTTGGCTGAGGCCCTCACGGGGCCTTTGTGGCAGCCGGAGCTCTCCCTCTGCCCAATGAGCTTCCCTCCCTCCCTTCCTCAGATGTGGATGGTGGCAGCTGCCCAGGAGGCCCTGTGAAAGTTAATCCCATCTCAGAGCCTGTTTCCCAGGAAACCCAAACTGGGATAACCCTTCCCCCAACCAAGATGCATCTCTGCTTCTGATACTGAGACTCATAATCATGACCCCTGGCCATTACAGGCAAAAATGGACTGTCTCCTAGAAAAGATAATTGGCTTCATCGGAGCCAAAAGGTTATTCACCTCTGAACTCACAAAATCAAAGGCATGCCATTAGCAGGACATGCACACACATCCTAGCGATCTAAAGGAAAGAGACATTATGACTGGAACTTTGGGAATTTAGCTCCATGCCCAGGTAACATACATGCTTTTAACTGGACCCTCCTAAGATAGTTCATACCCCATGATGAAGATGCTGGGAAGGCTTTGGTCTTCTCTTATTCTGGCCTGATATCCAAAAATAATAAAGGCTAATGGAATAGAACTTTCTGGAAGACAGGGGTAGAGAGGGGTAAAGTGGTGCAGTCACTTACAACTCACACTTCAGTGTTGTCTCAACATGAGGAGAAAATAGAGATATACTTGTCCAATACCATTAAACAAAATATTTAAAGACCATACAATAAAATACGTGCCTTTTTAATGTGTTTGAAACCAGGGACATGGGAGTGCACCCACTGAAGGTGTGTCTGGTGATCCCCATTCCAGGCCTGTTACCTGCTACTGTTCCCTACAAAACAAATCTGAGCATGTCTTGAACCATCTTAGGTGCTGCTTCTAGATAGTTTTTGGCTGTTAACACAAAAACCAAACTCTTCTATAATACGGAATGACTTTCACAATCAAACCACAACCAAACACCCAGGTTATTCAAATCCTTGGGACATTTTCCCTATTCTTTACCCACGGCCCTCCACCCCCCTTTTTTTGGAATCACATCCCATACCCTAAAGGCTGGACTCTTCCCAGCTCTTTGTCTGGGCATTTATTAACCCCCCTTTTCCTCTTCCATTAATTCTGCTGCAGCTTCAATGTCACCTCTCTACCAATTTCTGACTCTCCAATTCCAGGCGTAACTCATTGCTTCCACCATGGTTCTTATGCAAAACACCTATTTTATCACTTTTCTAACATTTTCTCCACTAAAAAAATTATGATATTAACAAATGCTTGTGCCAAAAAAAAAATCTAAAAAATACAAAAGTATAGAGTGGCAAGCATGAATCCATTCACCAATGTTTTCATTGAGAAGCTAGTTGGTGGGTATAGGAAAGGCTCGCCCTGGGCATTCACTGTGTTATTCTATCTGCCATTTTGTAGCTGAACTAGTTCATTAAAAAATGACAGTCTGAGCCTCCCTGGTGGCACAAGGGGTTAGACGCAACCTATGAAGCTAACTGCAGCCACTGCAGCACGAGTTTGATCCCTGGCCAGGGAGCTACCCATATAGCACAACAGACCTCTCCTGACTTGCCCGCTGCTCCCCTCAGCAGTGTATTTCAGTCAATCTGCCTGTTTTGTTCCCCACTCTGTCTCTGGTGGATCCTCTCACCGCCCGTGCCTCTGGCCTGTACCCCTGTTCTTGTATGCATAAATAAATAAATCTTTAAAAAAAAAAGACAGTCTTTTCTTTGCTATTCAGCCTCCTCACCAGATAAAATATTAATACTTCATTATGTATTTCCTAGACATTTTGTTGTCTAGGAAATATACACATAAGCATATAAATATGCACATGCACGCATATGTAATATTTTTAATTCAAATGGAGTAATACTATACCTGTCATTCTATGTTTTTTAAATGAATGGAATTTATTTCTTAGAGCAGTTTCAGGTTTAGAGAAAATCAGGCAGGTAATAATGTTTCCATTACTTCCCCTTTGGTCCCCAATTCCCCCCATCACTAACATCTTGCATTGATATGATATGAGCTCATATTGATACATTATACTTAGCTAAAGCCTACAATTAACATCAGGGTTTTCTCTTCCTGTGTACCATTCTGTGGGTTTGCCAAAGACATGTCATATACCCACCATTCTGTTATCATCATTCTGTTATCACACACAGTAGTTTCACCACTAAAAACTCTCTGTGCTCCATTTATTTTTCCCTCCCCATACCTCAACCCCTGGCCAATGCTGATCGTTTCACTGGGTTTGACCTTGGCCTTTTCCAGGGTGTTATATGGTTGACTCACACGGTACACAACCTTTCTAGACAGGCTTCTTTCACTCGGTAATATACATGTAAGGTTCCTGTGTGTCTTTTCCTGGCTAGAATTTATGTTTTTAATTGACATCAATATCTTTCCATGTCCTCACATAGGGATCTACCTTTTTCTCCCTACTAGCTATCTAAGTATTTTATAGTATGATTGCACACACTTTTACCCTTCACTTCCTGGATGAAGGTTTCTTTCCAGTTTCCTGTTTACATATCTTCGTCTCCCACAAAAGTATGTACTCCTCAGACGTAAAACATGGTATTCAATAAACAGTATGGTTTCTGTCCACAAAGAGCTATTCACACAAGAAAAGGTTGGTCGTAACTCAAAGCCAGAAGGAAGAGTCCCACAAATGAAGGCAAGAGAGAGGGAAGCACAGATTGGGAAGAAGGTGATCAACGAAGACTTGAGAGAGGAGGTGACATGAAAATTGAGCCTAGAAATGGGGGCGGAGTGGGGAGAGGACTAGAGGACTGGGAGATTTGGGTCCTTCCCATTTCTGAAATAAAGTGGCAACCTCAGTCAGCCGGTGCTGGCGTTGGGCCTCAGCAGGCCTGGAATCTGCCCTCTCTGCCTGCCGTTGGTTTCTCTACCTGCCTGGCTTCAGCCTGTGAGAACATGTGAAGGAAAGATGGAATCACTATCAAAGAGGCCTTCCTTAGAGCATGAGTGGGCATGCATGGGGCAACTCCTGGGCAGGCCAAAAAAGGCAAGGAGGCCTGTCCTCTAGAAGCTCTCATTCCAAAAATATCCTTTACTCGTGGAAGGCAAGTAAGCTCCAAAGGCGTGACTGACTGCCTGACTGCTCCTGAGGCTGCATCTCCTAAAACTTCTTACCCGCTCAGGTGAGAACGCATCATGGGACATTCTGTCTTCCTCTTCTCTGCTGTCTGCTGTCATATTAAAGCATCACATCTTAAACACCTTCATTTCTCCTGTAGCACCCACCATCCAGAGTGATCTCTGGTGGTGGTTACTAAATGCACAGAGTTAGAAGATTCACCTCCTAACCTAATTCCCCTAAAAACATACCCTGAAACATGGGGGGTTCCAGTGAGTTGTTTAGCTGAGAACTGGCTTTGGAATGCCTGGGGGAGCAGGCAAGAAAGACGGGGAAGGGAAGGCAGTCAAGAAAGGGTATGGGGAGATACCCACATGGCACTGCAGAACTCTCCTGATCTGCCCGCTGCTCCCTTCAGCAGTGTATTTCAGTCTGCCTGTTCTGTTCCCCACTTTGTCTCTGGTGAGTCCTCTCACCACCCCACACACGGCCCCACACACCTCTGGCCTGTACCTCAGCTCTTGTATGCATAAATAAATAGATCTTTAAAAAAAAAAAAAAGGTATGTTGTTATGCAAGTTATCTCTGTGGCAACTGGAGCCTAATATCCTAAGGCAAATGCTGGGGAAAGGTGCAAAAATGTGTCCTGGGAATGTCCCACCCTGGAGCAAAGGGGCTG